TCACCTTTTTCAGTTCCCAGAAAGGGTTGGGTTGAATGGTGGGGGGGGGGTAGGTACAAGTGTGTGCAGGCTAAGGTTAGCCTGCATCATAAAGGCTTTAACCCACATGCACACACTCAAACCTTAGCCTGCATCATAAATTTTTTAAAGCTAAGCTGATGAATTGGCATTATTCGCACAGTATTATTTATAATGTGTTACATACATGTATTTATCTGCTCATAACTTTCCTATTTCTTTCAGAATTACCTAAATAGCTGCAGGCAGATCACTTATGAGAATGATTCATTCTAATTCTCTTTTCAAGTAGCATGTTTAATATCAGTTTCCTATAACAAAATTAGTTAGTAGAAATCTGAGTTAAAAAAACCCTACAATGCACCTTTCAAAGAAAAAAAGGAAATATCCTATTTTACACTATTAAAATAAGAAATGACAATAGCATATATCACAATGTAGAAATTCCTATATTTTTATTTCACAGTTACAGTTCTTTCTAGTTTCTCTCTAAACCAGTGTATACAACAGTGAAATGTTACAATGAATGAACAAAATCCTTCAACAAAACGATCTTAGAAGAAGAAAGACCAAAACTTGGTAAAGACCAAAACTTGCAGAACTGACTTCACCCAGGTATCCCATGATCATCTCTTGGCAAAACTGGCTAACTGCGACCTCGACCTTGTCAGTGTAAAATTTTAGATTTGTGTGCTGCCAATACAGAAGAGTCAATTCTGACACGTGCAGACAGCCTAGGCCGCATGTCCCCTACTCGACCCCTGGGCTTGTCAGTCATCTATGACCTACTTTTCAGCTTCGCACATGCTCAGTCGCCCACATAACCTGATCAGGCACAAGCTCAGTCCTTCTGCAGCATGACAATCAGACTAGAAATTTCTTTGCAGCGTAAGATCTGATTGGCCACTAAATTCTTATAAAAGATCTGTGAGCCCCCACCTTGGTGTGGCTGGTGGTGATTAGTTGTTGGAGGTGTGGGCGTTCGTTGGTCTTGTGAGTGAGGGAGAGCTGCTTGATCTGTTAGCAGAGGCTGCTATAAGCAGGGACTGCGTGACAGAGAGAGATTGGGATCTCGATCCCCGGGTCCTCTCCTCATAACCCAGTACTCGTTTTCGTGTTGATTCTTCTGGCTTGTGACTGATCTCGGCACCGGTTACCGACTATGATTTGGATCACCCCTACTCACCCTGACTACGGTTTCGGCTTCTTCCACCTGGCACTTGACTTCGGCACGGCTATTCGACCATCCGTTTGTCCACCTGGACTGGCGTCACGACTTGTTCTTCGTTCACCTCGTTACAGTTTTGTTGTTCGTTTGTTCCTTTAATGAGCTGTTGACCAGCCCTGGGACTATTAAGTTGAGCAGCCGCCCCTAGCCCTCCGGGGTTAGAAAGCAAGGGCTCACTTAAGAACCCCGTGGGCCAACGGACCCCTCCGTTGCTTGTATTTGCTGTAACCGAAGAAATCATCATTACCTACGCCTCACAAGCGTAAGTCTAATAAATCATCTTTGTTTTGAAACCATACGCTTCCGCGCCTCAGACCTCCACGCCAATAATCCCGCCTGTTTCTTTCCAAGCCACCGCCCGGCCCACCGTGACCTTGGGGCATTTAATCCCAACAGACCTCACCATGATCCACTGGATGGGGAACTGGCTCCACGGTAGGACCCAGAGGGTGGTGGTTGATGGGTGCCAATCGTCTTGGTGAGCTGTGACCAGTGGGGTCCCTCAAGACTCTGTCCTAGGGCCTAAACTATTTAACATCTTCATTAATGATGTGGACATTGGTGTCAGAAGTGGACTGGCCAAGTTTGCCGACGACACCAAACTCTGGAGTAAAGCATCCACACCTGAGGACAGGAGGGTGATCCAGGCGGATCTTGACAGGCTCAGAAAATGGGCGGACGAGAACCTGATGGTGTTCAACACCGAAAAATGCAAGCTTCTCCACCTTGGGAGGAAAAACCTGCAGCATGCTTATAGGCTCGGTAGTGCTATGCTGGTTAGCACTACAAATTCAAGGGACTTGGGGGTCACGGTTGACCACAAGATCAACATGAGCCTTCAGTATGATGCCGTGGCTAGTAAAGCGAGCAAAATGCTGGCTTGCATCCATAGATGCTTCTCAAGTAAATCCTGGGACGTCATTCTCCCATTGTACTGGTGAAGCCACAGCTGGAGTACTGCGTCCAGTTTTGGGCTCCACAATTCTAAAAGGATGCGGAGAAGCTTGAAAGGGTGCAGAGGAGAGCCACGTGTATGATCAAAGGTCAGGAAAACAGACATTATGATGAGAGGCTGAGAGCCATGGGGCTCTACAGCCTGGAAAAGCGCAGGCTCACGGGTGATCTGGTGGCCACCTATAAATTTATCAGGGGTGCTCAACAGGACCTGGGGGAACGTCTGTTCACCAGAGCGCCCCAAGGGATGACAAGATCAAACGGTCACAAACTCTGCTGCGACTGATTCAGGCTGAACATAAGAAAGAACTTCTTCACTGTCTGAGTCCCCAAGTTTTGGAATAGACTGCCACCGGAGGTGGTTCAAGCACCCGCTTTGAACGCCTTCAAGACACAATTGGATGGTTATCTTGCTGGGATCCAATGATCACTGCTTACTTCCTGCCCCTGGGGCAGGGGGCTGGACTCAATGATCCTCCAGGATCCCTTCCAGCCCAAATGTCTATGAAATCTATGAAACTATTAAAACCTATTTCATTTGCTAATCTTTCTGAAGGAAGCAAACAACTGAAGTTTTTTCTGTTTAAAGATCAAATACGCCAATTGCCAAATACTAGGGTTATGCACCTTGCTAGAACAAACAAATGAAAATAAAACAAAAATAAAAACTATTTTCAAAACTTAATTTTCCTCCTATTAATTATAAACACGTTATATAATGACTAAGAGTTGCCTAAGAATCAAATCTTAGAGTAGGCAGAAAGGCTACTTGCAGGCATTTAAAAAAAAAAAGCAACTCCCACCCAAAAACAGCACTATACCTAAAACTGTGTGCGCTCCCATGCCAATCCCAGCACATGCCCAGAAAAAAGGCAGCCTGTTAGTTGGACCCGGCTCACTCAACATTTGTATAGATCAGGTGCTTTACTCAGGGCTTTTTTTAGTGCTTTTATCTAATAGCTGATTGAATCAGCTATTAGATAAAAGTGCCACAAAGCCCTGCTGAAGCGCATGATTTATACAGACACTGTGGAGTCAAGTCAAAGTAATGCGCTGCTGCTTCCCATAAAGCTTGTTTTTGTTTGTTTGTTTGTTATGTCTGCAAGCAGCCAAAACAGAATTAAACTGAAAGAAACAATTTCCAAGAATTACCTGATTCAAAAGTTGGCATTTTCAAGTCACCTTGGTTCAGTTCTGTGCCATATTTTAATTTATGATATTTTGCCCTAAAAAGATGACAATACAATACATTTAAGAAGTCAACATAAAGGGGGAAAAAAATCTAAATTCAAACATCTTACAATTACAGATAAAATTTATATAAAAGATATATTGCAGTGTTTTCACTTGGGTAACACTGGTACAGCAAATATAAAATTTAAGACAATATCAATGTTAACAACAAAATTACATGTTAGCTTCAAAATATATTGGTGTTTGTATCTCACAGTCACATTATTATATTGTATATATTATATTCTTATAATCAAAGAAACTGTTGCAGAGATCTTATATGCCATCCACAAAGCAATGTCAGCTAATAAAAAGCTTTTCAACACCATTAAATACAGATTATTTGTGCTTGCAGCTGCAACTAGTTAAGTAATTTACTCTGAATAAGCCCCACACTTGCATTCTGTGCTAATTACCAGGAGAGGAGCAGGGGGAGAGGGGAAGAGACTGTCCCAAAACAAGACATAACACCTTGAACTGCCACGGGTAAGGCAGGAGAACCATGGCAGCCACTGGTCTGCTTTATTATAATCTAGCAAATTAGTGCACATCCAAATAGTTACCATATTTACTCAAATAGAAGACACCCCTGATAATAAGACAACTCCCCAGTAATTAGATTCTATTTATGGAAAATGTATAAAGTTGTTGTAATTGTCTAGGTATAGAATTTAATTATTGTATGTCTGTCTTGAATTTGTTCCCCTCCCATTGCTACAGCAGGGAAAATAAATCTGGGGAGTCAGGAAGCCCCTTACCCTCTGCCTACCTCCAATTTTTCCCCCCTGCAGCTTTTTCCCCCACTTCTTGCCATCAGATCCTCCCCCACCCCCCAGCACATGGAAGTGAAGGACATTTTCAAAACAGTGACCTTGAAATTAAAACATAGCTCTAGTAAGTTTGCATGTAGTACCCATACACTTAATTCATCCAGAATTGATAAATTTTACCTGTTTCTGAACTGCTGCAAGCTTTAACAGAGGCACTCCACAAGCACACTTTTAAGCAGCACTTTGGCACCTACTTATATATAGTACAAACCAGTATGGTATTAGTTCAAAGCTAAAAAAAGGCTCATGATTTTTCATACAGTTCACTGGGCTGGGCCCCAGCAGAGTCAACAGCATCTCAAACCATGTTGACCCTACAGCTAAGCGTATGTGCGTTCTCCACATACCTGCCAAAAAAGGTTCCATGTGCTAATTAGCCCCCCATCCATGACTAGAACTGTGTGTTCTTGTCACAAATCCTAGGAACTTCCAAACATTTATATGCAGATGAGGTGCAGGGCAAGCTGGTCTGGCTCTACCTCACGGAGGTCAGGGTTACACTAATTATGTGCACCAGGCTGAGAGAGAGGGTGAGAAAGGGGTTCTGGGTGAACTCTTTGGGGCCCTGTTTGGTGATGTCTGCCAGACATTTAGGGCCAATGAAGAAACTGGAATCACTGGAAATGGGAAAGAAAAGGCACAGCTTAGCTGTGTGAGTGAAGAGAAAGTCAAAATGCATGGGCGACTAATGCCTTCTGATCCTGGGGGAGCGGGGGCCACTAGCAGTTGATTACTGACCAGGGGAGAGTCCCCCAGAGCATGGGCAACTGGCGCCTCCCAAGTTTGGGAGGGCACCAGCAGGGTACAACCAGGGGTGAGGTGCACGGGAGGGTGTCCTTACACTTCTGCATGCAGTACAGTGGTGGCAGAAGTCTCAGGACTTCCACCGCCAACATCCCGCCAGCAGAGCCAATTTCAGAGGGGGTACAAGTGCCCTCCATGACCCCCTACTAGCCAGAGGGCTCGCTCTCAGGTGGGGCACCAGGACTCTCGGGGGGGCATGTGCTTCCCCCCCGCCCTGGTGTCTGCCCCTACACATCACCTGTGTTGAAATGTATGCAATGCAGTGGCTCTCTGTGACCACAAAAAAAGTAGCTGCTGAGGTGGACTGCACTCAATGGGCACTATGATGCATCTTATTCAAATGGGCTGCACTAACTTATCCTTGTAGTAGGCTCCCATCAGCATATCAAACATAGCATTTTTGGCATCAAGGGGAGAAAGTCAGGGCTAGCCAGGTATTGTAGTACTTCGAGGTCCAGTCCCAGTTCCCTGTTAAGGGAACACCAGCCTGGTATTTTTTAAGAGCCAAAAAAAAAAAAAAAAAAAAA